GCCAGCGGCGGCCAGGTCAGCGCGGACCAGCTGCGCGGCCCCCGAGGCGCGGGTGGGACATTAAGGCAGGGTCTGAATGGGGCGGCGGCGGCGGGCTCTGGGAACGCCACCAGATGACACGCCAGAGACGGGGCCGCTTTCCCCTTAATTACGCGGCCGGGGGAAGCGCGGCGGCCGGGAGGCTCCAAACTCGCAGCCAAGGACACAGCCCGGACACCGCTGGTGGGTTTTGTGGTGCTTTTTTTGTTGTTGTTGTTTTTTAAGTCCTCCTTTGGAAACGGCTCAATAAAAGTATTCAGAGTCCCTCTCGAGTTGCCTTTTAACCGCAGTTCCCCAACTTATTTCTTGGCTCTTTCGGTTGACATGGCGCAAAGAAAAGTCAGAGAGCGTGTTGCTGAATTGCAATGTCTGGGGGCACCTCCACATTCAGCGCTCCTCCGCCGGCCTCTGCGAATGAGCCGGCGCTCAATTCGATTTTCCTTGCTGTTGGGCACATTTAGGAGCGCCTCTATTTGTGAAGTTCATTTCTAGGCAAATGTATTCAAGAGCTGATGGGAATGAATAGGACCGTGTGTCAGCCGCCCCTAATTGGGATTAAAGCACTTAGGAGCATATGCAGAGAGTGACAGAAATTCTCAGGTTGCATTGTGTTCAGACTTCCACCCGCTCGGACGCTCCTCCTCCGAGGAAGATTTATAAAGATGGCGGGAGAAACTGAGGAAAGAAAAGCAAAACGGAAAGAACCGGACTAATGGCTCAGGATGGGGCTTTAGAGCAGCAAGTGGAGGTGACAGCTTCTGAGAAAAGATGCTGGGGATAATTGAATGCGGGCGGAGGAGCAGGTCTGAACTCTTTAATCAGAAAGGCGGAGAGTTAAAAGGCGAAATAAAGATGTTCTTGAGATTCCCAGACGCCCCCCCCCCTTTCTTTCCCTCCAAGAGTCTGGCTTTATCTCTCTTTATCCGTGATCCGCTCCCCCACCCCGAACATACCCTCTCTTGAAGCAATAATAAGCACAACCTGTACTTGAAATAGGAGGGGAGAGTCATAAGAAAGCAAAAGAGAAAAATATCTTGTGTGTGCTGAAAACTTCATGCTCACATAGATCAGGGAAAATATTTCCTGATGTATGTGTGTGAAATAGATACACTACCTTAAAATGCAAGCATAATGATAAGTATCCATATACAATCAGATTGTGTGTGTGTGTGTGTGTGTGTGCCTGCCCAGTGTGTACCTATGTAGATTTATAGAGTCTGCTCCTAAATCTCCTCCCGAGAGGGGCTGCAGGGTTTGGGGGGCTGAGGTGACAACCCTTTTAAAAGCTGAAAATCAGCATGGAGCTGTAGCTGAGACAGTGGTCTAAGTAGAAAGCAGTGACAGGCCCTGTCAGCCCCTGCGGAAGAGAGAAGTCAGGAAGGACAGGTGAACACTGAACAAAATGAGGGGAGAGAACCTGGGTTTCTTCACGAGTCTTCTAAGTTGTTAAAGCCCTCTGGAAACATGGGTTCCTCTGGAGGAATAACCCACGGATACTCTGGTATCTTAGGGCAGCAC